TCTGGGGGATAGTTTTTTCTGGGGGATATTTTGGGGGTAAGTATTGTAAGAATTTTCGCTATTGGGGGAAATCGGGTATATTTCAATGAATAAAACTAAAGTAAAAAATGTATTAAAACAACTGCGCCATCTATTTTTTCAATCAAGTACCAATAAAAAAGATACAGTTTGCTTCTTCTCAATCTTCTCGAGATGAACGCAAACGCTCAGTTCTAGATCTATTTTAATTTGTAACGACAAATGACAATTGACTTGAAAAATCAAATCGGGGTTGCTGTATTCTAAATTTTAAAACAGCTTAATTATATAATAATAAACTATCCAAACTTCTTGGTACAACTGTACTTATCTGTTCTGTCACCAGTCACAACATTTTATTTCATTTGTCATTTGTCAATTGTCATTTTATTTTTGGGATTAGAAAAATATAAACAAATAAAAAAGTGGCAATGGGGTATGAGTTTTATTTTAAAATACCTATTCAATGAATTTGGCTTTTTTTTTGCAAGTATATATGAGTCGAGAATAAATCTATATTTATTTGGGGGATTTTAGTTGACAAACAGTGATTTTTGGGCTATTTTTGAAATCGTTTGGGGGAAATTAGTTATAAGCATCTGGCAACCCTGAATATAATATAAGTTATAGAACCCAGGTGAAAAATTGATCAATTTTTGACGACGTAGGTACTTACTGAATAATTTTAAATTTAGAATATATTTTCTAAGCTTGACCTCAGTTCGGATTATTGCGTATGAATAATAAACTTTACATTCTTGAAACATGGCAGTACTATAATATTAAATTCGATAAATCGAAAATCAAAATAGTTATTTATGTATCAAGGGAATTATGCAGGTGTTAATACCCCAGGGCAACGTTTGTGTCCCGAGGGCCTCCGGCCCGAGGGACACCAATTGCCCGTGATAATATTCATTTTTTTGAATGGTAGTCCTTGTATATTATAACATTTCTGGATTCTGCCGAAAATTCTAGACATATTTCATGTATAATGTCATATACCTATCTTCAACTGTTTCGGAAATATTCACAGTTGAAAATTGACTTTTTTGCAACTTTGACCTGCTGACGGAATTTTTAATCATGGATTAAATTCAAACTTGGTGTCAAATGATAGTTTACAAAAAACTAAGATGAAAATGTATGATCGGTTTTGCTGTAAAATCAACCGTTTGGGTTTTATAGTCTGTCAAAGATGCAAAAAGGTCAATTTTCAACTGTCAATATTTCCAAAGCAGTTGAAGATAAGTATAGAACATTGTACATAAAATATGTCTAGAATTTTCCGCAGAATCCAAAAATGTCATAGTATACAGGGGTTACTATTTTAAAAAATAAAGTTGATAACCGTACAGCTGTTCTTGGAACACCCTGTATAAAAAAATTTAGGTGAAAAAATCTTAGGCAAAAAATTTAATCGACGTGTTTTTGCGTTTTGTCCACATATTTTATCCGAAGGCTCTAGCGAATTAGTTAACCAGTTAAACTCCCCTCCCCACCTTGTATATAAACCACAGTATATATTATTAAATGTAATTGTCAAAATTACCAAAAGGTAGCAAGGACCAATTTGTATTGGTCTTATAAAAGATACTCCAATAAATTCAAGATTTACCAATAAATGTTTGACCACCTCACTCCAATGAGAGTGAAAGAGAACAATTAATGGATAAAAAGATTAATAATATTAATTAAAACCTGTGCACGCTTATACCATGGTATACCGGGGCGGGTTTGTACAAAAATGTCACCTAAATATAGTAAATTAATAATCATTGGTACATTACACCCATTGTAATAATGAAGGCGGTAAAACAGACTTGGAAATGTACCAAGTTAAATATACGAAATACTATTAATAATAATAAAAAAAGAATAATTATGAAAAGGTAATAAATCAACGGGAACATCACTCTCATGACAGCCTCACAGCCCTGATTACAGACCCCATCGACCTCTTGACTCCCCCTATTAAATAGGGTGACTTTCGGTTTCAGATTCAGTGTTGTGGGTACTCTGACGTACCCCAACTTCGAAACGTTAGCAAAACGTCGAATGGGAAAAACCCGATGGAAAAGTAAAACCTAAAACCCTAAAAGAGTAAAAATTCTTAGAACCCCTTCATATTTATAAAATCAAAACCCCAACTCTCAAATGGTAAATAAATGAAATGATTGAAATTAAAATAGCAAAAATTGCCTGAAACCTGTACCTATTGTTCGTCGATTTTTAACTGACACTTGCGGTATGAGGAGCGAGGGGGTGTTTCATATGGCAAAAACAGGTGTGACGTCAGGTAACCATTGGCGTTCTAATGTAGGGAGCCACCAGCTCACATTCCGTCCGAGTATCAGATTAAAATCGACGAACAATACGTTGTCTTTCACAAAAAATTCCCTCAATTAACAAGGCCTTTAATGCTCCTTTCGAAAGTGACTAGTGAGTTTTTTTTTACTGACAAATTGCCCCTCTTGGAGGACAAATTCCCCCTTTTTTTTATTGAATCCCAAATATTTACAAAAATACTGATATGCTAAACTAAATATTGATAAAGAAAAGGTGAATTCAGGTTGATAAAAACGTTTAAATTTACCTGGCTACAATTCGGGCTCTTAGTTGAACAAAACGTGCTCGCTTCTCGCATCGACAATTCAACAAAATGGCGTAGATTTTCGTCTCCATAAAATTCTGAGTGGTTGGCTTACAAATACGGGGACTTACGACCAAATCCAAGTTTTCACCCCAAGACCAATTAAGCCAGCTACCACTTGAGTTCCCAACGGCTCTTAAATCCCACAAAAGGTGGATGTTTCAAAGAACGCAGCAAAGAGGACCGCCGGTAAAATCTGCCAACAACTTGTTGCTTGCTCAACGTGCGAATTTAAAGAGAACGTCCCTATTTTCGGCAATTCACCAGGTGAGCTCATATGAGAAATTTCCCCGAATTCTAGGTGTTCCAAGATGCCCTCTGGTGCCAGATTTCGGGTATTGACCAGGAAAACGAGACAATCAGCTTGAAACGAACAACCCAAACCACATTGATGACCAATAAAACCTTAAAGTTGTTATCTAATTTTGTCCCCCAACACTAATTAATTAATTAATAATCATCATCTACCCGGTTTTTAGTCTAAAAAATATCAAAATGACCACTCGGTCAGTGATAGCAACGCGATAGCAACAATGGTCAAGAAACCTTGGCAACAGCGCTTCCTGAACAGGATCAACAAGTGTCCCATAACCACACTTATTCGGGAAAAATAAATAACCTAGTAAATGTAAATATGTATTCGTAAAATTAAGGGTGAAACATCGATTCAACTGGTGTGAGAGTGATCTGTGGTGTTGCAGAATTTTTTATAATGGAAAATACGAGACTCGTCAGAGTTGCCAATTGATTTTTATTTGGAAGTAAACAAACATTTTGATTAACAGTTAAGGCTTTTTAGACAACTTTCGTAAGCTAAAGAAAATAGATTTCGATCATATTAGTAGGGCTTTATTATCCTAAAACGACCCTGTCATCTGAACACAAATAATTACCTCATATTATTACCCCGAAAAACATACCTTTGTTCAACACCCACATATTGTTTCGCATTCAATCAAAAAGGTAGAAATCTAGGAAAATCCAATGAGAAACCTATCAATCACCAAAAAATATTAATCCTCAGGTGTAGAACTTCATATATACCCTCACAAATACCTGAATTAATTAGTGAATTTATTCGAAATTTCCAGTTACGTACTAAGGCAAAATTTGTACGTAACACTAACAAAGACAGTATATTTAGCATGTTACACTGGTTATATCCACAAGATGCGGCATGATCTCTGTTTCTCCTGTCTATAGGAGTGCTGTAAAGATTTCGTCTACTTCTGGGGATTTGAGAGGTTCGAATGTATTCAATGCCCATTCAAGCCTTAGTGAGTACCGTTTTTGGTGTTTCTCAGTCCTTCCTAGTGGGCCGTCTGGGGCTCGCTCTTTTCTCACTTCTGTTTCTTGGTTTACTACCTGAGAAATGTCTGCTCAGAAAAAGAAGCGCACGCTCCTCTTCTTTTTCCGCGTAGGTAGGTACCATCTGGCTTTTTCAGAGCCATTGTCGAACTTGTTCCCTCTTTGGACATTGCCGTGTGCAGTTTACGGCGACTGGAATCGAAGTGATATTTTCACAGGAAGGCCTGAAGTTGTTTCTTTCTATCTTCCTGATTTCTTTGTTATACTTTTTGAGAGCCTCTGTGTAACCCTGGCATAAGCAGCATCCGCTTCCAGTCCACATACACAGTTTTCCGTCCACATACACTCGTGGAAAGGTGCATATAGAGAGGATAAAAATAAATATTGCCACAAAATTACGTCGAGAGCCCGGCCGCATTCTGGGAATCCAGTTGTTTACGTTTAGCGCGACTATTCGAGTAATTCTTATTGCAGGGAACAAGACCTCTAGATGAATTCGGATAACGCTGTCGACTATAGATAGCGAATCACCGTAAAAATTCTAGAAACTTTCTATAGTGTTTCATTTAGACATCACGATACAAGAATAGTGATTTTGGTAGTGGCTTCGACGTCAAAAAACAAGTTCACAAACGGAATTTCTGGAAAAAACTAGAAACTTCTATATAATTCTGTTTGGAAGCCGTAAGTGATAGGTACTTACAAGAATAGTCACTTGGTTACTGAGTTTGACATCAAAAAATGAGTCGACAGTGTCCTATTTGGAAATTTGACTTCGTCACAGAGTTTAGATTCAAAATCGGATTTCAGGAGAGAGACTATGGTAAATGCAGCAGACCGCCGAAAAATTTGGATAAGAAGAAAAAGATCGAAGACAGAAGCAAAGAGATGAAGAAGTTGCACGAATACAAATAAAAATAAAAAATCATATGCAGCGCCGTTCAAGTGGTAGAAGTGAAACTTCATAAAACTATTCTCTTGTTCATTTGGCTATAATTTTATAAGCATTAACAGTTCTTACCTCATACTAGCTTCATTTAATAAACCATGGGCAGCCACTAAATTTTGATAACCATAATAGCACACTGAGTTCCCCATTCTCCAATGATATCCATTATCACCTAGTGAACCGCCCCAAGAAATCCCCCAGGATAATAAATAGTGAGCACTACCCTTATCACTAACTCCTGGACAGTCTTCTTTACCAATACAATCACCAACTTGTTTAAAATGCTGATCAAACATCGCATACCGCAAAAAATCTCCTAGTTTTGCAGCTTTCGAGAGAGTTCCAGTAATGCCTGACAATTTCCCTTTAGATTGCGTCCATTGCGATGCCCAATACGCCGCCTGGATTGCTCGAGCGTCAGCATCTGGGCCAGCGGCATAGTTGTAAGTCTTTGTAGCCCAACCAGTCGTAAACTGAAATCCTTTTTCTCCACCATAACTCCAATTGTCACAAGTAGGCGTGTTGAAGCCTTGCCACAGAGATCCTTGGCCCAAGTTTATAAAAGAAGGCCCATCCGCGTCAGGCCCTAATTCGCATTATCCTTGTATATTACCAAATCCATAAACATTATCCACATCTGACAACCAATGCATTATATACAATTCAGTTGTATTATACACTTCTTTGAGTTCATTGAATAATGGATCTTGACCTACTGAAATGCCACTAGCTGATCCAGGTGCAGCGGGATTGTATCTGTCCGTATTTAATTGAAGAGTTGGAATCATGTGTCGGTCAATTAAATCCCAAGCTTCATTGAATGGTTGAAAATCACCTGACATAGCTCCGTAGATGGCTTTGAGGTAAACGTTGTAGCTGAAAGCCTCTGAATCAGTTTCGTGTCCGTAATCCGTAGATTCGATCACTAAAGTTTCAACTGAGTGATATGGAACGCCTTCTTTCGAATAGTAGCCATTGGATGGGTTTGTTATGTTGTTGTAAAGTTCGAAAAATCTATCACCATACTCACCAGATTTCGCTCTAAGGCAGATATTTGCTAACATTAGCCAATAAATTAGCTTATACTCGATTATTTTCAAAACAATACATGAGATTATGGAAACATATTAGTGAAATTATAAACAATACACTCACGTTATAAGACTGATTTGAAATTTGATAACTTATTTTTTTATACCTACTTTCTGTGACGTTAGGATACCTACTCAAGATAACACAATAATTTCTATTATTCAGGATGATCATTTGAACTCGACCGGGCCGCTGTGATTTTTTAAACATATTCATTGGAGCTAATAAATTTCAACTCTACTGTGAGTCATGGACTACTTTTTCAATTGAAAAATAATGATGTATACATGGTTGTGGGTCAAAACGTGGTACAGATGGGCTCCAGCAGACTTTGACTTAGCATTTGATTCTTTTCCCATCTGTTCAGTTCTCTCATGAGACGGCGCTCCATCACTGGGCTTTGAAAAAGTGGTGTACCTCCTTGTTCTCATAACCATATATGCCTTTTTGTTCTGATATCAACACCAGGGTTACTTCGTTCCTCGCAGTCAGATGCTTGAGGATCTGTTTGCCTGCCCAAACTAGCTGCGATATTCACTTTATAGCTCCTAGAGCTTTTAAAGACGCTTGGCTATAGAAAGGACGTGAATGTGAAGCCTCATTCAAGGCACTCTTGGGCACAGGTACATTTGACTGCTTGAAATATTGTGGGTGTTTTCCCATTGCTAAGGAACCATCTTCTTACCACAGCGACGCGTTATCCTACTGTGGTCTGAAATAGCCTGTAAGCCTCTATTTTTGCTTCTTTTTTCACGCAAAGGTGAAGATGATGCAAATTCAGTCCAAAGCTGCTGTGGGGCTGGTTGACAGAGCTAGTGTTTTTTTTTAGACAGACAAGCCGTTGCTCTTGGTTTAGTTAATTATCAGCAGAAGCTTGCTAACTTTCAGGCCACCGAAGGAGGCATTTGGCGATCATGGGTCTGGTTACTGTTTGGTAAATACAATATACCAGTTTTGGTTTGAGACTTAGGGCCGGTATTTCAATGTCAAAATAGCGTTAAAAGTCATCCTTAATACAATTTTCACCGTATATCAAAGTTCACTTAATTCAAGGTGGATCTTAAACCACCTGAATAAACTAATTTCTAGTTCACATTACCGTTGAGGGTACCTACCTAGCTAAGTCTTGATTTTAAGGTAAGGGCTGGTTTATTCACCTTCGGATAAACTGTCAAGAATGCAATCTGGCGGATAAAAACGCAAACTTCAATTCCATTGGTCGGCCAGTCATCCGACGACCAATAGAATTATATTATGCCGGCTCCAATTCAGGCAAACTGATAAAATGCCGGCGGAACAAGAACAGAAGAATATATATAATGTTGTGACTGATTATTTTTAGGCATTTTACAATTTACCAAAAACGGTGCCGTCAAAACGTGAAAATAAAGTCGAAAATACTATTAAATATAAATATTACAGTTTATAATGCTCAAACAATTAAAAAAAAAAAAACCAATAGAATGTGACAAAATTATGAGTTAGAAAATTTAATCACATTGTCCGGGCATTATGATTAATGCTGGAGTGAAGTGAATAGCTTGTCTGATTAACATTGCAAACTAACCGAGACTAACCGGGTTATTATCAGTAAGTTTGATGATGTCTGATTAAAATTGCCAATTAACCCAAACTAACTGGGTTATTATCGGTAAGTTTGATAATGATAACGGCGTGAAATTAAAATACATGTGTGTGTTTCCCGCACGCTGGTAGGAAAATCTATCACACATGCTACTACACGGCAGTTCAATAACAGCTGTTTGGAGTGCTCCAACCCAACTGTTCGGAGTACTCCTATTAATCGGAGTACTCTAATTGTTCGAAGTACCTCCAACTGTTGGGAATACTCCGAGTACACCAACTATTCGGAATACGCGGTTACTCCAACTGTTTGAGTACTTCAACTGTTTGGAGTACTCCGAGTACTCTTATTGTTCGGACTACTCCAAGAGTTCGGTGTACATTGCCAAACTTACCGATAATAACTAGGTTAGTTTGCAATTTTATTCAGACATTACCAAACTTACCGATAATAACCCGGTCATCATCGTTACATTTCGTTTAATACTTGTTATAAGTGTACTGATTAAAAGCGAAGCGCATTCTTGTTTTTCTAAATTTTATATCAACATATGAAGGACTAGTACGCATTACGTGGACGGGCTAGTTTCCATACTTTTGGTTAGTTGCGTTACAGTTCGTTTATTACTGGTTATAAGTGTACCGGTTAATAATATAGCACGCAAAGCGGAAACGGAATGCGAGCTACAAGAACGGATTTTAGATTTGTGATTAGCGACTAAAATTATACCTTCCTACAAAAAATTAACAAATTCAGATTAGATGACAGATAATAGATAATTACTCTAATACCTGAAAAAAGTCGACTTGTTTTATACCTATTCACGTTTTGACGGCACCGTTTTGGGCAAATTGTAAAATGCCTAAAAATAATCAGTCAACATGATATATATTCTTCTGTTTTTGTTTTGCCGGCATTTGATCAATTTGCCTGAATTGTTGTCGGCATAACGAAAAATTCATTTTTTGCTTGCGTTTTGCCGGCTTTTTGTAAAATGCCTAGGCATTTTAGGAAAAGCCCTAATTTGCATTATGCCTACGACATATCCAAGTTATAGAACCCAGGTGAAAAATTGATCAATTTTTGTCGATGTATACGTACTTACTCAATAATCTAAAATTTAGAACATATTGTCCAACCTTGAATTCAGTTAAGATTATTGATTATGATTAATAAAATTTACATTCTCAAAACATGGTAGCACTAAAAGTTAAGTAAAGATAAATCTATGTATATATAATAAATTCAAAGAGTGTAGGTATTCGTGACTGGCCAGTTATAAATAGAAGGTATTTTCTAGGGTTTAGGTTTCAATGAAACTTTATACAAGCCTTAATTCCAACAAAACCGTTCTAGTACGGTAGCAGTCATTTTCTGTCACTTGACGAGGGAAGTTGCAGATGGAAATTGTAAAATCTGCAATTTACTTTAAAAAAAATTAAAAAGAACTTACCACGAGGGGGTTCGAAATTGTGTCACAAATTCGTCTGAAATTCCCGAAATCCTTCCAAAATCCACGAAATCACTCCGAAATCCGCCAAAATCTCTCAGAAATCATTCCGCATACCCAAAAATCCCTCGCAATTGGCCCAAAATTCGTTTTCGGCTGTTTTTCAGTTTATACTTTATATACACTTTCGAATATACTTATGAGATAAGTAACAATCTAAAATCAAATTGAAATATTTGTGAAATCACCTGAGATTCTCCGAAATCATCCTTCGAAATCACCCGAAATCCTTCGAAATCAACCGAAATCTCTCAAAATCGCTCTAAATCCGAAATCTTGTTACAGTGAATAATCCCTTGAAATCTTTCCTAACTTTGGTATGCCGCCATTTCGGCTGGGTATATAGTAGCAACTTAAAACTCCGGGGATATAATCTTAATGAAAATAGCTACCAAATGACATATCACTCGAATCATTTTTTAATTTGAAATTTTGGGGGTACCTGTTGCAACAACACCCCAATATTAATCTAATCTAATCTACCCCAACTTAGGGGTGAAAATACCAATAAAATGTATCCTCCAAGAAACAAAAATTGACGTGTCTGAGCGATTTTTAATTAAACACCTAACACCTGAGAAACTATGGGTGGGAAGTTTTTCGTGCCCCACCCTGTATAGGTTTTTTTATTAAAAAAATAAGACAGATATAAAAAGTTGAATTCTATTTGAAAATGTTCCTGTAGAAAGTTTATACAGAAATCAATTATTTTCATAAATGAAAAAGTTAGGAAGGTTTCACCTTATCGCTCAAAATCGAGAAACACCCTCTAGCGGCAAAACGGTTGAGGGTATCAAAAGGCGGTTTCCAGTGTTTGCATTAATCAAGATATTATCATTAAAAGATCACGCACGGATCTTATGAGAGAAAATAAATTTCACGATTGTCATGAAATTGTAATATGTTATGCTTCTCACCTCCTGAACGTAAGTTCTCGTAGGCCCGAAAAGATTCTATGATTAGTTTCGGAGATACAGGGCCGGGTTAACATACAAAATTTTGACAAAAAATAAACATTTCAAAATATGTTGAATTCAGGCAATGACACATTCTAGGTTAAAAACGGATGGAAAAATGCCAAAGTAATGTCATCTGAAGCTTTGTAAGTTGAAAAATTGTCGAAAAATGCCAAAAATATGTCATTTTTGGTTATGAATTAAATTAATGTAACAGCAGATTCTGGAGATTTTTCTTGTTCTATACCATTTCCAACATTATTTCACACTAGTGAAATTTGATTTCAAATTAATGAAAACTAAATTCACATCAGTGAAATCTAATTTCGCTCAAATGAAAATTGATTTCAAAGTAACGAAAACTAATTTCTCACAAACGAAATTTGATTTCACATTTTTGCAAATGAACTTCAAATTGACCCTAATTAATAGTAGTTTTTCAAATATTTATTATTTTAATTTGAAAAAAACATCAGCAAATATAATTTATTAATGAAATAAACCCAACTGAGTTGACATAACATAAAATACAATGAAGGGGTGTTTCGTCGGTTAGGACAAAAAAAAAACCATAAAAGGCCTGTCAAGTCTTTGCCAACGGCTAAAATATATATTAGGAACATCAAAAAAGTGCTAACCTAACAAAAAACTGAAGTTTACATGCCTTGTACTTAAAAAATTATGTGGCTAGAATTATATAAAATAGTGCGGGATTTTTCAGGATCGAACATTCAATTGCACATAACAAAATCACAATACATTGATAAAATTGTAAAAAGACAAATTTTTTATTATTATTTTTTTTATCCTAACCGACGAATCACCCCCTTCATTGTATACCGATAGGACACGAGCTTCACTTAGATAAAATACAATCATGAAACAATTAACAATAATAATTATAAATTATTTAAATAAATTGAACTTCAGTTGAATCTTCTCGCTCTTGAGATAGCTGCATTATACCTTTCCACGTGATTTGCCAAACTGAAGTTTAATTTATTTAAATAATTCATAATTATTATTATTGTTTCATGAATGAGTTTTATGTTATCTAAACCACAGTTTTCTAAACTCAGTGGGTTTATTTTATTAGGTTGAAATAAATAACGTTGTTGATGTTTTTTTTCAAATTGAAATAATAAATATTTGAAAAATAAGTATTAATTAGGGTCAGTTTGAAATTCATTTTCAAAAATGTGAAATCAAATTTCGTTTGTGAGAAATTAGTTTTCGTTACTTTGAAATCAATTTTCATTTGAGCGAAATTAGATTTCACTGATGTGAATTTAGCTTTCATTAATTTGAAATCAAATTTCACTAGTGTGAAATAATCCTGGAAATGGTATACTTTTTTTTATTGGTCCTGTATCTCCGAAAGTAATCATAGGAATCATAGGATCTTCTTGGGCCTATGAGAACTTACGTTCAGGAGGTCGAGGAGCATAACATATTTCAATTTCATGACAATCGTGAAATTTATTTTTTCTCATAAGAGCCGTGCGTGGTCCTTTGAGCCTCAGCAGACTGGACTGTTCATTTTTATGTATCTGGCG